ATTTTCCGCTCTTCTCTCCCTCCTGCTGCAGCAAATCTCCTCAAAAGTTTTCTTTTAAGAAACTATTTGCTGCAAAATTAAAGCTAATGAGACGCCGTGAAGAGATGAAACCACCTCCTTTTCAACTTCGACGTCTTGAGGCTCACACGACTCTTTGAAACCGAGGATTTTCAATTCACATGCTGCCAAAGCAGATTTGCTGAGGATAACGGCCTCCTCACCTGCCCAGTCAGCAACACAGATGGTGGGTGTTGATCTCTGCTACTTCAATGAAAGGCACATCATTTTAGCTCACATGATCACTGAAATGGGTTTATGCAGAGGTGTTTGACTCTGAAGTGGAAGGGCTGGAGCATGCGTTATTTCCCGCAGACTTGTCAGAGCTCATCTCTTGGTGCCTCTAGGCCCAGATATGCAGTCAGCTGGGCACTAAATTCTGCTGAAATATGGGGCTAAATACTGCCTGAGCTCAATGCATAAACTCATGCATAAACCTCACTTGATTTTAATGGCATTTATACCCTAGTTATAAGGGTCTCAGCCACTTATGCACATTTAATTGAGAATTCAGACACAATTCTGCAGACAACTTCCTGCATTTTGATATAATTTGTTAGCTTGTTTTAGAAACAATCCTGCAGTTAGCACAATTCCACCTGGGAAGGAGCATGTGTGCTGTCTTCCTCTCCCAGGCCCTGGAAATATCAAGAAACATAGCGATTTTAAATATTTTAGAAACTCTCTGTCCACAGCAATGACTGCATTTTAAAACTTTGATGGCCATTTATTATTTACAAGAGCATTTCAAAGGGTAAATTTCAGATCACAGCAACCTGTATGTTAATTGCCAAGAGTTCATTTGAAGACGTGGTTTGAAAGCCTCTTATAGGAATTTGGATGTCCTAAAACGTGAAGCCAAGTTTCTCCCAGTGTGTTGTACAGGTACAACACTATCTTGCTGTGAGTTCATGGCAATAAAGACAGTAAGGAAAAAGAAATACAAATGCCTTAAATTCTGAAAAGCAATCTCTGACTTGAAGTTCATGTTTGTGTGGCAGTTTGTCATATCATGGTCAATCTCAACCACTGAATTTCTATGTGCATTAAGCAGCAGCCCCTGTGGCAGCACATATTTTATACTCCTCTCTGTCCTGAAACCCTACAAATTTCTATTTGAATGACACTTTGCTGCCTCCTCATTATATACCCAGGAAGCAATGCTGATTGATTAGCATCGCATCCAAACCAGAAACTGGCATCATCTCAAGACTCACGCGATTTACAACAACTGCTAAGTAAATTGGCATACTTTTTTTAGTTCCTACTCTTCCTTTTTTAAAAATAAATCTTAGGAAAATACAATCCCAAAGGCCTAACAGGCACACATTTACAGATGGCAGCAGTGGGTCATAAATGACATCTTTTCCTGCTACTATTTATGAGAGCCAAATAAATTGAACATATTATGAGACATTTATAATGTTCTTCAGCAGAACAGTCAGCCAAAAGACAGAGCTGAAAGCCTGTTGTAACAAAAGGTATCAAAGTGAGGAGGAGAACAGTATCTACAATTACTACTCTGGTGATAAAACAAGCATAGTACAGCAGATGGGTTTAACACAAGATCACTATTAAATAAAACACTGGCTCGAATGCCAAGGAATGACTATTCAAGGAGGAGTGAATTGAGTCAAAGTGTATAAAGGCAGCAAACACAGCTCAGCTAACCTAGAAGCTATTTGCTACTCTAAACAAAAAGATCAAAACCTATGTTAATTCTCCATGTTGGTCAAACAGTCCCTCTGCAGACAAAAACTTTCATGATTAGGTATTAATCAATGCTTATGCAAATGACAGGACTGAGCACACTGATGGCACAGGATCCTGACCATGTAACACTGGTAAAAAAAGATGTAAAAGTCAAAACCACAAAAACCCCCAAAACTAACAATATAAATTTGCAGAGCTTTTTCACTTACCACTTTATAAACTTCTCAGTTCTTCATCAGAAACACACTAATTCATCTGTTTGGCAGCTTCATAGTTGTAGAACATTGCTTGACAAAACATGAGTCAAGTTAGACTCTAAAAAAAGGGTTTCATTTTTAGAAGTTTTGAAAAATATTTCAGGGTCAGAAGTAAGGCTGGAATTAATTAAAGTGAATAAGGCTGCACCATGGAATATGGAGCTGCAACGCTCATGCTTTTAGAGCAGGGCTCCAGCGCTCATTGGGTTTGGAAGCAGCAGAAAGGATGCCATCACTAACAAGGCATTTTGAATAACTTTTTCTTTTGTCAACTTGCAGTGTTTTTTAAATTAAATGTTTCTGTAAAATGCATTTTCGGTATTAACTATAAAATACCTTCTTTAGCTTGAGACTCAACACTTCAAAGACATACTTCAAAAGCTTGACGCTCACCTAATCAGCTCTCTAAGATCGTTTAAACTATGCTGTAACATGAACAAGGAGAGGAAAACCAGTAGTAACAGCAGAAGATACAAATTCAGAACAAATGTATACCATTACAATATAATTTCAGAGTAAAAAGGCACTGAACATAAGAGATTCAAACTTAAAATATCCAAACACTTTCTCAGCGACCCATCCATACCCCTAAAGACTCGGGCTGCATCAGACAAATCCCTTTGCAGATGCTGTGATTGAAAACACAAACCATTCACCGGTGACTCTCTCAACCTGCCTGGACTCCCAGCAAGTTAGCTGAAGTATCAGGAAAACCTGTGAGCGGGGCCTGATAAAGTACACAATATTGAAAAGTTTTAAAAATCTATGTAAAGTAAACAGTTTTGCCATCTTAAGTTAACAGTCTTTATACATTTTAAGAACTAAGAGATGGCAGACATAAAGTCCTGGTGATATGTACACAATATGTATGTATACATATGTATGAGTATATACATATAAAGACATATATACATATGGCACCAACAATCTCATCAACAGCAATTGAGTAGTTGCCGCCTTGTCTTGATTTTACACCGTTGCACGTGCTGACGTGTTACAAAGGACCAGCGATACAAACCCCAGATGTATAACAAACCCTGCTTCACCTAAACCCTTAGGTGCTGATTATTCCGGGGAAGAAAATTTTGTATTGGAAAATTGGGAACCTTTGCTTTAAGGTTTGTCAAAGGATTAATATATATTAAATGGATAATTAATACATATGTAATGGGTGGCCCTGGGAGACTGTAACCTACAGTTTACTAATTTAGACAGGGGTAAATAACATTAAGGTGTGGTTCCTCCTTTATCTTATCACTACACTCATATGTATGCTTTGTATGGAAAACTTTATTTGATAATAAAAATAGCATTCACAGACTTTCTCCTTCTTTGTTGCTACATCATATACATAGTGTCTGTTCCAAGGAAAGAAGCTCGTACTGGGTAAGTCCACATCTACTCATACTAGTGTTATGTATAAACCCAATAAGTCAAATAAAGCTATGAACAATGTAGTATTTATATATGCATAGTGTTTTATAAAAAAGATTGGCCCACATACTGCTTTTCATCAACACAGAAAAGAGCATTATGTCTATAGCACATTGCAAGAAATGATGATTGAAGAACATAGACTGCATACAAGTGCTTAATAATACATAAGCAGGCCCACCATGAAGAAAATTATATTCAAACCAACAAAAGCTTTAGAATTACTTATACAGTCTCCCATTTTAAAACAGCTTTACATACCTGATTCAGTTTAATTAAAATATATCCCCTGAATCAATTTGTTCCATTTTCAGAAATATAAACACTTAATCACATTCCTCACAGCTAAATTTTGTCATAAATCCTCTTTTATACAAGAAAAAGGCAACAGTTTTGTTTTTTTTTTTTCCCAACAGGCTCTATTAATTACAATTTAAACTGTACACACAATGATCGGCCATCTTCTTTCTTGGTTTTGTTTTTACAGTACCATGGCAACAACAGTGATAGACTTGCAATGTTTTTGTGTTCATATGGAAAATGTGAAACAGTATACATGTACACACCAATGCACTGTAAAAAGCAGCAGTTTACTTTAGTGGTCCAACAGTAACGGCAAACATTTTGGCTCAGCTAGGCAGTAATCCATTAAAATCTTATACCAATACTACAGCAGACTTACCACACAACTTGCAAATTTAAAAATACAACTTAGAAACTTGCAGGTTTCCCTTTTGCTGCTGTTCTTAGATTCAAATTTACAGCATATAACCAGTACGGATAGGCTTCTACAACCAGGTTGTCCCACTGATTGCCTCTTTTTGCCTGTGTTTTTCCTTTGACACATCAGGTTTTGGGTTGTTTTTTTGTTTGCTTGTTTGTTTTTTTAACTTTTTTTTTCTCAGCAAGTGCACTCCTTTTGTCTCAGTAAGGATGAACCAGTAAAATTAAAAACTTAAATACAGAGCGAGAAGAAGAGAGAGCTTTTGGAATTTGGCAAAAATAAGAAACGCCCACTGGTTTTGCCTGAGCAAAAGGAATACACCTACTCCGAGAGCGAGCACTTTGCTCCCACTGCATTGTGCCTTGTCCCAGGATCTCGATCCCTTCCCTTGCTTCAAAGCAGACAAACAATACCATGCATGCTTGGGTTGCTGTCCATATACATCTAGAAGATGAGCAGGGCTGCGGCGGTTGCCTTAATGAAATATCGTTAAACGTTGCTGAGGCTAATGAGAGATCAACAGTCTACGTTAGTGTGTGACACAGGCATGGTGGTTACCAGTCTTTCTGCCTTTGCGCATCCTGTAGAGGGGGCCTGAAAGTATAAACTGTTCATGAAACAAACTAGAAATTCCTTATCGTAAATCACCTTGTGCTGTGTGGGTTTGGTTTTTTTTTTAATTTTTATTATTTTTTATTATTATAAATATCCTTCATTGAAACAGTAGTCTCTTCAAACAGTTCTTGCAATTTTAGGAACATTTGTCTCTTTCTTTTTTA